CTGGCCCCCTCTTGTGGTGGGTAATGACCCCCACCCCAAAGGAAAATTTATCTGGTTATTTAAATTAACTGGGGTAAAATTGGCATAAGACAAATTTAAAGGAAATGACATATGCAGTTAAATGCATGATGTCATTAATTGCATGACATCATATGCCGTAATATGACATCATTTCTGGAGGGGGGGTTGTAAATTTGTTGATATTATTGTTTGCTTATTTTGTCATGTGCAGTGAAGGACCTCCCATTTGGGGGTTTACACCTTCACCTACACATGTGACAAATTTGTTAATGTTATTGGTTTTGTAAATAGACCCTGTACAGCTAAATAAACATTGTGGACTGTTTAAACCCAAAAAGAGGTGTCTCGTGTCCTTTGTGCCAATGCAAATCACTGTTCTAAAGTGATACGAAGGTAGGGTGAATGAGATTCCTTTATCTGTAGAATTTTATACTGCAAGTTGGTGGCAGCTGACAAGCATCCTACCAGTTGAGACTGACTCATAGCAACTGAGGCCCTTCTGCCTGGATTACTATTGCTGACAGTCTTCAGAAGTTTCTCTTAGTTGATAATGTTCAAAACATCATTTTCATATTGGCTAGCATAATCTCATACTGTCGAGTAGCATAATTTCCTGATTTAATGCAAATGAATGATTCAAGGTTCAGTTGTTTTCTTCTCTCCTACTGTTGTGGTGGAAAGCAAATCACTTTTAGCCAATGGCAGTTTCCATCCCAATGAGCAGAGACTTGGCTGCTGTGATGGCACAGCCAGCTGGTTCCATCAGACTGGGAATACTTTTGATAACAGACATAACATATGCTGTGCTTTATCAATGTAGATATTCATTGCATGGATCACCGCATTCTGATGTACAACAGATATCACATACTGATTTTCAAATAAGGATATTCCAAATTGGCAGCATTGTGTGTTATTGGATAATGCACTGTATGGTGCTGTTAACCAAGCATATTTAACTTAGGGCTGAAATTAAGGTCTCTCTGTGTGTGTCTTCCACATATTTTTGTATGTTGTTGTCAAATGTTTTCCAAATACACCTTTGGCACTCAGATGTAACCTGAATATTTGGTATCCATATTTGACACTCAGTGATACTTGATTTCAATATTTTATATCTAGGTGATATTTTGCAGTATTTAATAGCTGATAATGATGTGTCATAGCATCTAATACCAAAGAGAAATCAGGATCTGAGGACAGATCTGGAACTGGGGCTAAAAATTAATATTCAAAATTTAATACAGTATCCATATAGACCAACCAAAGGACCACAGAGACAGTTTCCCTCCTTCTTGCCCTGGAGGACTCAGCAGCTAGTCGAAGAGATTGGATTCAACTCAAAGATAGAAGAGTCTTCACTGTGAATCCCCAGGTATTTAGCTTACCACACAGGACTATGGAGAGCCATATGTATATATATATATATATATATATAGAGAGAGAGAGAGAGAGAGAGAGAGAGAGAGAGAGAGAGAGAGCATATTAACCTCTGCTAAGGAACTTGTATTTGTCACAGAACATCTACTTTCATAGGGAATATTTTCCTGCCTTGGGCATAATTTTTGGGCATTATTCCAGTAGTGAAAAATGGTCAAAGCAAAGTAGACAAGACCATTTGCCAGTAAGCATACAATCAATGTATCACTTAGTTCAATGCAAGCCTAGTAAAGAATGCATGCAACAGGTCCTGATTAGATATGTGCAGGAGCCAGATTCCTACGAGGGAAAAACACAACTCATATCTATGCAACAGCTTGCAAACTGTGAAACAATGCTCAGCTCTTGGCAACGGCATCCAGGGTTATGAAGAGATCTGGTTTTTCATAGCTTTAGCCCTTCTTTTGACTTCAGCTTAACTTACAGATCTGGTTGAATAATCAGTATTCCAGATCTGATGAAAGTGAAGATTCGATTATATCCTGATGCATTTTTTATCTTAGCAGGGCTTATCTGCTACATCTTTGTTGTGCAGAACCATGCCCCCGGATGCTCTGGAAACAAGCATGAATGAACAGATTGTCATCAATATGAGCTGGTAGCCAGAAGTTACTTTGCACCTGATGTTATAGGACTATATTTGAACCATGGCTTAACTCAGTTGAGGATTTGAAGAATTACTTTCAGCATATGCCTTTCCACTATGCTTGAGAAACCAAATCTCTATCACAGATATCAGGAAATACCGTAGTCATAAGTGCTTACGGAGCATGGGCATGACTTTCAGATGACCTTGAGCCACGGTACCTCTCTCACTCTCTCTTCTGTTTGGAGATTATGCAAACAATAATATTTCTTGATGTGAAACCTTGGTAAATGAATACTTAGCAATATTCATTTTCCAGTTCACCATTTGAAAAGATACAAACTATGAAGGCTTGCAAACTGGTATCAAGCCAGTGCATATGGATATCTGCTCAAGTCCTTCCAAACTGGAAATTGCTATAATCTAATATTTGCACTTTTAAATTAGCCTAAGAACTAACTGCTAAACTACTTTGGTATTAACTGTGACAGAACATTAGGAAAATACCAAAAGAATAAATTTGAGAATGGGTTTTCCAAAAAAAAAAAAATAGCTATAAACAAACAAACAAAAAATAAACAAATAGCTGGTGACTGTGACCTACAGGGAGGTTGGCATTCAGGACCACTTTGTTCTGTCCTTGATGGTTTCCTGACATTTGAATGTTAATAAAGAGAATAATATTTGACATGTTACAGTTTAAAATGTCATTATTAAGTATGTCCATGATTACCTTTCCTCCATCTTAATTGCAACCACCCTGGACACACAGAGAAAGAAGAGGCAGACACAGCTCCACCATGCCTAGACCCAAAATTCAAAGATATAACTGTGTTAGTCTGTAGAATCACTATGGAGAGAGATCTTGTAGCACCTTTGGGACCAACTGAAATAAAGAAGTTGGCAGCATGAGCTTTTGTAGATTTCAGTCTACTTCCTCAGATGCTTTTGATTGAGTGGAAGCCAGGGACAGACATATATATGATTTTGGTATATGAGAATGTCAATTCAAATTCAAAATCCTTTGTGTATGCAAATGAAATAGCAATTCCAGTTTTAATGGTGGTCGTTTGTGGACAAAGACATAGCCATTGGGTATGGACATGAGGTGGCAAGACCAATTTGGCCTCGGAAACCAGCCTGTAGGTGGGGAGAATAGATGAGTGTAGGATGCCCCCATGAGGATGGGATCAGATAGTGTTGAAATGTGTGTAATGAGCCAGGAAACCATTGTCCTGTTCAATTGATTGCTCAGGGACTGCAGTTTATGGATGAATTCCAATTCTGCTGTTTTCTCTTTCCAGCTCTTTGTAGTTCTTTTGTTCAAGGACCGCTGTTCTGAGATCTGAGATAGAATGCCCAGGGAGATTAATATATTCAGCCACTGGTTTTTGTGTATTCCCATTCCTAATGTCTGATTTATGTTCGTTTATCCTCTGACGCAAGAACTGGTCTGTTTGCCCAATGTAGAGTGCTGATGGGCATTGATGATATAGTATGGCATAAATCACATTGGAGGATGAGCACATGAAAGTCCCCCTAATATTGTGGGTGATGCCATTAGGTCTTGTGATGACATTTCCTGGATAAATGTGGGATCAGAGTTGGCATCTTGGTTTGCAGTAAGGCCTGTGTCCCCATCTGTGTCATATGTCTTCCTGTGCATAAGTACCTGTTTGAGGTTTGGAGGCTGTCTGTAGGCAAGTAAATGTCTGCCCTGAAGAGCCCTTGAAAAAGTGATATTATTGTCCAGAATGGGTTGTAGTTCATCGATGATGTGCCTGAGAGGTCCCAGTTGGGAGCTGTATGTGGCCACTAGTGGGGTTCTGTCATTTTCTCTCTTCAAACTGTTCTGTAATAGATCAGTCCTGGGTATCAGTCTTGCCTTGTTTATTTGTTTTTAGACCCAGAAGTAGATAGAGGACCCTCCCTCATTCCAACTGCCACTGCCCTGACCTTGGAGGGAGAGAAGAACCAGCAGTATTTGATTCCTTTCCCCACTGCTATTCCCTTCTGCTTTTGTGTCATGTCTTTTTTAGATTGTAAACCTAAGGATAAGGCACTGTCAAAGCAATCTAAGTGGTCAGAATATTGGACTATGACTCTGGAGGCCAGGGTTCAATTCCCGCTTGGCCATGAACCTCATTGGTTGACCTTGAGCAAGTCACATGCTCTCAGCCCCAGGGGAAGACAATGGCAAACCTTTGAACAAATCTTTCCAAGAAAACCCTATGTTAGATTTGCTTTAGGGTCTCCATAAATCAGAACTGACTTGAAGGCATAGAACTTACACATAAGGCACTCCTGAGAGCCTTTGTGGCTGGAGAGCCAGGGTATAAATACTCTAAATAAATAAATAAATGTGCACTTTATATTAACACCACCATATTATCTTATGGCAAGATTTGCAAGTATAAAATTTCTTCTGATAGTAATTGAGACATTCATGTTGAATGGTAGAGGCATAATTCTTACATTACCAATTGCTTTGTCCTTGCATTTAACATGCAAATAAGATTAGAAAGCTATGTACACTACAGGCATTTCTCTAGCTAGCCGTCTTATTTCCTACAGTTAAGTGACTGTGGTTTTCATATAGTGATACTCAGTTTGGTAAAATTACTTTTTTGGACTAGAAATCAAAAATGTTGTGGCTAAGAGTTTCTGGGAGTCCAAACAAGTAATCCAAACAAGTAATTTTTCTAAGGTCTGGTGACACTATTCCTATCCCATCTGCTCTTACCTCATTTTTTGTTTATCCTTTTTCTCATTTTCTCTGTAAGCACAGAACTGTTTGCTGGTATAGTTATTTTGCATATATAACTACAATATTGGCATTTCTAGGTTATTTTTCTCCTACTTTCTTCTCCAAAATGTTCTTCTCCATCAGTCACTCATGTAACTAATCCTCATACAGCTGGTAAAGGTTGGAAGAAAAAACAAATGTCCCACATAGATTAATAATGCAGTGTTGTTGCTTTTTAAATTTTCATTGTAGGTTTTGTTAAACATTTCAGTTTCAATCTCAGATCCATTTTCATTACTATTATAACCAATATATCACTATTTTCAGTGGTATGTATATACCTAGGTAATAGCACTATACTTACTGATAAATTTAAAACATAAACAAAATTATTAAAAAGCATATTCAAAAATGATCAAAAAGTATAATTTGATGGATATACTAACTTCCATAATTTCTCACTTGATCCCTTGGTACAATATTTCTAGCATTTTTAAGGAAGGTTTGCTTTATAGTCTTAGTCCATTTTACTTTCTGAAAATTGTTTTAGAAGAGCAGAATGGAATACAATTGAGGAACTGATAACACATAATTTAAGCCTAGTGTTGTGGTCCTCAACTTTTGCCCCTTCAGATGTTTTGAACTTACTCTCAGAATTGCATAAAATGGGCCATGCCGGCTGTGGATTCTGAAAGCTGAGGTCTGAAACATTCAGAGAACCAAAGGCTGAGAACCACTTCTAGTGGCAAATCAGTTCAGTATCTGTGAGGGAGCATTTAACAAAGAATGTATAATATTTGCAGATGATTTAACCATATGGCTGCTGGTACAGCACAGAGGTATAAGAAATCTCAGAGTGGATTCCAGATGTCATGTCTAAAACCACAGGCTTGGAGTTAGCATTCTTTCCCAGGATTACTTGGAGATCCTAGAGGTTTTGCACAGACAGCTTATGGCCCATCCTTTTTAGAATCATAGAGTTGGAAGAGACCACAAGGTCCATCCAATTCAACCCTCTGCCATGGAGGAACTCATAATCAAAGCATCCCTGACAGATGGCCATCCAGCCTCTGTTTAAAGACCTCCAAAGAAGGAGACTCTATCCCACTTTTGACAGAGTATGTTCCACTGCCAAACAGCTCTTACTGTCAGGAAGTTCTTCCTAATGTTGAGGTGGAATCTCTTTTCCTGTAGTTTGAATCCATTGCTCCGGGTCCTATTCTCTGGAGCAGCAGAAAACAAGCTTGCTCCATCTTCAATATGACATTCCTTCAGATATTTAAATATCATCTCATCTGTTAACTTTCTCTTCTCCAGGCTAAACATACCCAGCTCCCCAAGTCTCTCCTTATAAGGCATGGTTTCCAGACCCTTCACCATTTTAGTCACCCTTTTCTGGACACACTCCAGCTTTTCACAGGAAGTAGCTCCATATCACCACTGTACTTGGATACATGTGGCCCTTTCATACTACACAATTAAAGTGCTGTGATTCCACTTTAACTGCCATTGTTCCATTCCCTGGGATTTGCAGTTCAGGGAGGGTTATTTAGAATTCTCAGCCAGAAAGCTCTAGTGCCTCATAAAACTACAAATCATAGGATGTTGCCATAACAATTAAAGTGGAATCACAGTCCTATAACTGTGTGGTATGAAGAGCTCTGGGTAAGACCAAGTTGAAATGACAACCCATTTTACAAACATTTTCACTCTTCACAAAATAGGTCTTGCCCTTCCCTTTGAGCAGTGTTCCAGACATTTAGCAGAAAGAGGAGAAACTGATCACAATGGAGACTGTGAACAAGAGTGCAATCTCGATTGGAAAGGAAATTCCCCCCTTCTCATTGCTGAGGCAACTGGGTTGTTACTTCTCATATGCATTCTAATATGCCACAGTAAAAAAAGATTGGATTCCCCCACCTGCACCAAGTCCAGAGAGAGCGCCAATCTCATTTGCCACCAGAAAGATTTGTCATTCTTATCCATCTGATGTGAGAGCTCTATGATATTGGTGAAGGAGAAAAGGGCCAGAGCACTGGACAGCCCTGGATGAAGTGGCGTGGCTTGAATCCAAAACTCTCACAGATCCCAACAGTACTCCCAACTTGTGGGAGGGGGATTTTACACCATCCCTGGCATTGATAAAAAAAACTAATAATAAATGCAAGAAGGAGACATATACATCATGACTTTCTCCTCCTCCTCCTCATTGGAGAATCTAATGATGGCTCTCTCACATCATGTCTGTTTTGGCCTTCATGAAAGTACCTTAGAAAGGAGGTATTCATGATTATATGATTCTGATTGCATATAGCCTGCTGTTGTCACTAGGGATTAACAATATTATTGGGTTGCCAAAATTCCATGTTAGGGATTATTCTGAAAGTGATTCAAAATTGAAATGGATGATATTGTAGTGTCCTTGTGTAAAATCTGTGGTACCAATGCATTTGGAGAAAATGTGCACAGTTCTGTGCACCACTTCTCAAAAAGGATTTTGTAAACCTGGAGAAGGTGCAAAAAAGGGTGACCAGAATGGTTAGAGGATTGTCATTTTTCTCTACAAATCGAGGCTGGGGCTTTTTAGTATGAAAAAAGATGAGTTGTGGAAAATCATAAAGGTTTTATTAAGTTTAGCATGTTATTTAAAAAGTGTAGATATTTTGTCCTTGCCTAATACTAGAACTTATTTATTTGGTAACTTGGTAACAACCCAAGAAATATATGAAGAGCAAACTCAGTACATATGAAAGAAAGCACTTCACACAGCACACAATAATCATTGCAACAATGTGATAACAGCCAGTATCATGGGAAGATTTAAAAGTGGATTAGACAAGTATGTGAAAAAGGCTATATCTATTTATTAAATATGAATGCTAAATGGGATCTACATTTTCAAAAATGGTGCCTCTCAGTGCACAAGCTGCCACAAATGAATAATAATAATAATAATAATAATAATAATAATAAATTTTATTTATAGCCCGCCCCTCTGCACAGCAATCGAGGCAGGTTACAACATTTAAAGCAAACAAGTTAAAAGCATCCCCCCTCCCATAGTCCAATGAACAATAGGGAGAGACAGCCTTCCCTACATTTTAGTCTTTCTAGAAAGCTACAACTGGCCATTGCTAGGAGCCTTCACCTTTTCTTCATGTTTTATTAAGAAGGATAGATCAAATACAGAAAAACAACTCACCAAGTCAGATTTAGTTGGCCTTATACTGAGGAAAAGGTGGTGAATTTTTTTTCACTCTACCTTGAGGTCTAATGAATTCTAAAAGCTGGGCCTTTATCTAGGGGTAAATGCCTCCTATGTTGATACTCACTAAGCTTTTGCTGATACTCACTCATCACCTGTTAGGACCCATTTCACACCCTGGCTTGTACTGGTCTGTACTCCAGCACAGTATTTTCTTTGGATCACACAAAGTATTATATGACACATGCACATAAATGGTGTAAACACTGCACACTCACAAAGGTCAGGTGTCGTGGTGACTGATCAGAATTTGAATTGCAGCACAAAACTAGGAGGTAAATATAAAGGCAGGTATGTGGTTCTCAGTGGGAAAGCAATGTGGAAAACTCACACTTTTGGGTTGTTGAGCCAAATAGCAGGGTTTTTTTGTGAAGGGAGAAGGGTAGCTGAAAACTCGCAAATAGAGCTAGGAAACATACAGCCCTCCACAAATTGCTGACTTGGAATGCCCATCAGCCCTGACCAGCATAACTAATGGTAAAGAATGATGGGGTTGCAATCCATCAATGTTTGGAGGGCCACATGCTTCTCTTCCCTGTATTAACTTAATTTCTAATTTATACAAATAATGGTGACTATGACTACATTTTCGATGTGTCTCATGTGCACATGTATGCATATGTGTTGTGTTGTGTGTATGTAAAGAGAGAGTGCATTGGATCAGAGGCACACAAACAAATGTGGAGGCAGCCTTAGCAAACATGACTGTTGGTTAATGCAATTATTTCCGATATCAGATTTTGCAAGTAATTCAAGACATATTGCAGAGGGTGCAGACAATTACTAACAATAATGAAAAGTGATAAGGGAACAGCTGGCATATGTATCAGAAAATAGAATGCTTAAATGAATACCCTCCAATATGGTGATAGACAATCCAAATATGGGAATACATGGCAATTTAGTGAACTGAAAGAGGGGGTAGAAAATACAGGGTGAGACCCAACCAAGCTGAAGCATATTTAAGGGACATAAAGTGTGATACAAACTGATCTGCTGTGGATAAACCACTCTGAAGGGTAATGGATTACCACTCTGAGCGGTAATGGATTGGATGAGGAAAAACAAATTGAAGTTGAATCCA